CAGACTGATGGCAGCTGTGTCTCTGTACAAACCAGCAAGGAGAGAAAGCATCCCAGCAAGCATTGCACACAACACCACGCCAGATGTCCCATGATGCACTCCTGCATGAGATAGACCAAGAGCTTCAGAAGGAAGGAAAGGCTGCCCCCAAAGCCACAGACGTCATCTGCTGAAGATACTGTAGTCACCCAGGTATCTACAACAGAAGTCTCCCAAAATGTATCCAACTTACAGGATGTTAAAGAAGAGGTCCAAGATAGCAGTACTCCAGATAAGGCACGTGCGATGTCCGTGGAAACTGCACAAGAAGCCTTTGAATCAGAAGGAGCAGCCAATCAGAAAGCGGCGGTAGGCACCACTCATGGACTGTTCCAGAGCGCATCCCAGGGTGGTCCCTTCGGTGGCTCAAGCGAGGGCGCGTTTCCGGGAGAGGAGGACCCGTTCACAGCCGTCATCAACATGAGCGAGATGGACCGTCGCCATGATGCCTGGATCCCGTCTGAACGTACCAGGAAGACTCTGGTTGCCATAGCAACCTCTCCACCTGGAACGGTAATGCTGGAGAAGGACCAGCTAACCATGCCGGGAATCATGGTGGACGAGTCACAGGTATGTGTGAGAGTTATGGAGAATCAATACAACACAATATCTCCTAGTATCATATAACATACTATAGAAGTTTATCTTTAATGTGTAAAAATGTTTGCCTATAACTGGTACTCAGTGGAATCTGAGATAAAATAGACTTGTGGATGTCAAACTTCTGAACTTTTCTTCATTTTTATGTACATGTATAATGATAACATGTTGTCTTTCTCTCCCCTCCCCTGCAGGGTGACCCTATCCAGGACCTGATGAAGAAAAGCCTTGGTGAGCAGGAAGCTTCCAAGAGACAGAGCCTGTCTGTGGACAGTGTGTCACACAATGAACAGGGACTCAAGCACCTCATTGTAAGGATTGATGGACAAACCTATCATAACTGTCCAGTGGTACTAGTTCTTTAGTGTAGATAACAAAAAATTAACATGATTCTGTTTGTATGTACTGCATTTATGTCAGGAAACCAAAAGGTAAGGTTCAAAAGTCTGTTATGGTATAATTTATACTATTTGAAATATACCCCCAAAGTCAAGTTATCATAAGATACAACTTCCATATCCATTTGCAGGAACCACCCAGTGCAATTTTCAAATGACTGCAGAAGTTGTAGATTATGATAGTCTGATGTACATGCAATACAAACTTGACTTTGGGGACATACTGTAGCAGGATTTTGAATCTTACCTTTGGTTTTCTTTAAAAGGTTGACTTTTCAGATGTTTATTTATGTCATGTACAGATCTTGTGTTCCTGTGTCATATAAAGTAAAAATGTATGTCTGAACCCTCCACAGGTGACAGGGAACCTGCGGGCGGCAGTAGACATGACAGGTCGCCTGCTGGCCCAGTCAGGACAGGGCATGGGGATGGCAGGACAGCTGTCAAGACACACTCCACACAGTCTACAGGTAAGGCACACGTTTATAGAACATAGACAGAGGGCTGGGAAAGGGAAATTTAAAGTGATATCAATCTTGAACCAGTTTAGCTCCAATTTACTCAATGAATTGCTGAGTTAATCTTCCACTAATCCTGACACAAAAGACAACGATATGTACAGTTGCAGTATGTACAGGTTTATTGTACTGAGAAAAATTTCTTGTTGATACATGTGTATCTACTAGCTGAATAGGATGAGATAGTAAGAGTTGAGTTTTATGTCTATGTGTTTGATGAGTGTAATCTATACTCCACAGCTGTGGTTCACCCGTATTGCCCTGCTGGTTCGTCTGCGGATGTTCTCCACTGCAGAGGCTGAGCTGGAGGCATTCAGTGGTCTGGACCAACCAGACCTGTACTACGAGTTTTATCCTGACACATACAAAGGGAGAAGAGGTGTGTGCAATTGTTTTAGGTGTGTTTGTTGATGATACATGTATCATCACAAGTTATGCTGGACATTTTGGGATGTGGGTAGGTGTTGGGATGCCGGGCAGCTTTCCTTGGTGCTACAATAGAACTTAATTTTTTTTTTTTTTTGTCGTGGACATGCAATGGTCTTTATTTTTTTTTGGTGGCAGATATTGATTATTAGAAAACAGCTGATACACAGGTATTTTACAGGACAAGAATCACACATGTAGTTAAGTATCCTTGATTTATTGTCTTAATTACCCGAATTGTCCTTTAAAGATTGCATGTATGAAGAGTCAATTTTCTGGTGCACTTTCCCAGGCACCATGGTCCCATTCCACTTCAGAGTTCTCCATGCCGAGCTGCCGCAGTACCTGGGCAAACCACATGAGGCGCTTGACAGACTCTACCACCTGCTCGGCACCTGTAACCAGGTATGGGTTGTGAATCAATGAGCCCTCTGGAATTCTTAATATAAAGGCACTGGAATTCTTAATATAAAGGCACTTTCTATGTCCCATATGCCTTATGTTTACAAAACAGGGATGATTACATGTCAGTATATACTAGTTGAATTTTGTCCACTGAAGAAATTAATGGCATGTACAGATAACTTCTGAGCGACCAAGTATTTGACAGATCATTCAGCAAATTGCATACATAAAGAATAAAATGTTTCACCCTTTGTGTGTTTTCTTGACTTTCAAAACATACTTATAGTCCAATTATACAAAATCGAGGGTCACTCAAGTCATCACTGTCTAGTGGAAAGAAGGGCCTATAAGAGGACATACGCTTGAAGAAGCCATGCATTGAGCTTTCCCCAGCCTGATTATTGGAGATGTTTTATCTCATAACCATCTGGACATAAAGAGGAAGTCTTTGGTGTTGTAGATCGTGACTAACCTGGAAAAGGGCGTGGCGGAAGATGGAAGCATGTTGGTTTTATCACCTGAGAACAGGACAGGTAAGTCTCATAGTAATACTGCCATACATGTAGCTCAGGGCTGTGAACCTAATACAATGTACTTTTCCTGTAAGGTTTATGTAAACCCTCATACACAGATGGCATTTTAACACCAGTGGCTACATGTATAACTACAGATAATTGGACAAACTAGGTACAGGTACAGGTTTGGGCTTAAATCTGTGTACTTGCACGTCTAGGGACTTGCACTTGTTTAGAGACACAGCTCTATAATACATCCTGCATGTTTACCTTACAATTCATATTCTCATTTCTAAGACTAGATTTATTGGTAACTTTTATCAATCTGAAGCTGTTTTCAACCCCTTTCCCTTCCTCTAGCATCCTCCGAGCTGTGGAAGTCCCGGGAAGTGAGGGTCCAGTTTTCTATCACAAACTGTGCTGTGGTGTTGAAGGTAAGGAACAGGACACTGCTACTGTAAGCACCCCTAACGTGGTAAATAGAAATGTGATCATATTCCGTGTGTGTCTTTTCTACATTGCCCAATGAATGCAGTGGAAAATGAAATACATTTTATTAGTCAGTGTCCTCACTATGAGACCGACAGAAACAGATTATTTCTACATCCTTTCATCATTTAGGAGATCAGCAAAAGACATTCTACTCAGATCACAAAACCCACTTATTATGCAGAATGTGGGTCAATTCATTATCCACTGCCTTCAAAGAAGAAGTCAAACCTCATAAAAGCAAGTGTAGTAGTAGAAGTATGAGTTTTTCCAGACAGTTGCTGTCTGTTTCCTATTATTGTATTGTACTCTGTCAAATTATTAGCCTTCAGGTATGATTTTGCAAATAAAGATTATTAAAGCTCATATGTCTATTTTGTAAAGTGAAAACTAAGTGATTTTTGTTGTTTTTTTCCTCTTTGTCAGATAACTCTCATGTTAAATGTTGCTTATGCTATTATAGGGTGAAAACTTAATTTTATGGATTGCAGGATTTTAATTTGGCCTATGAGACAATGGACACCATACTGTCTCGAGAAGTGGGAGATACACCTCAGATTCTTAGTGCAATGGGCAGGATCAAACTACAGGTAAATAAAACATTTCCCTAGACTACATGTAAGTGTCATTCATCAGAGTGATTTTTCCTCCTATCCACAAGTGGAATTCTTAAAATTGATAGATTATCTATTGGAAAATAACCCTCCTCTGGACTTAAGTGATCCTTTAAGAACACATAATCTCTTTAAAAAGAGTGTCTTCCAATAGATAATCTCAGCATTATCTTAATAAGGATGTATTAAAACCATACCTTGTAACAGCTGTGTGGTCATACTGTGAGTTACTCTTACTTGATTGCACCCATTAAATGATGAGACCTACACATATATGGTCTTAGACAGCTCCGTCCTGTGTATTAACAGACCAGAATAATTGCAATGATGGAAACATTTGGTGGAAAATGAAGTCCACAGGGAGGTAATTATCTGCCTGAGTTATTTCATCACTCTTTGCACATCCTGTATCATACCTCCAAACTTGATGGAGACTCTATATGTGTACATTACTACTGCATACTGGTATCTCTTAAATACAGGTCTAAAGCACCTGCCAGCTTTTGCAGGCAAATGCAGAATATTTCCATCCTTTCTAAAAATGGATCTTCCTAACATGGCCACATAGTACACATACTTTCAGTCTGAATCATGCTGATTTCATCCAAATGTGGACACACAAGTATTCAACAATAATTATTTGATGATACAAATGTTTGTTGTATGGTGGCTTTTTGTGTTTGATTGTATGTTTGTTTGTGTGTCCTTAGTTACATGAATATTTGAATACAGTAGTGTGGCAGGAAGAGAGGGGAAAATAGTGTAACCACCACAGGTTGACAGGAAGGTCAAATTGGAGGTCATAAAAAATGGTGTTCCCTCAGACTGGGAGGAAATGAACGGCCTTTTATGGAAGCTGGGAGAAAAAGCTGGAATAGACAGAATCAGCAAGAAATTCACAATAATGATGCAACAGTAAATTCAAAACAACTCTAAATACTTAAGGGAGGTGTGAAACCTTTGATATTATGTTTTACTTAGTGAAATGCACTATTGACTACATGTATGTATCCATCATCTCTGACTTCAGCTAGGAGATGTAAAAGGGGCCCAGCAGTGCTTTGAGAAGGCCGAGCCACTTCTGGAAGGTGAAGCAGATGGAGAGGCTGTCAAAATTACCAACAAGTGAGTTAAGAATTTTAAGTTCTGTTGCATTGAAATTTAAAGCAAACACAGTCAAAAAATGTCTCAATTTTCAGTATCTAACAACCCATTCATTACCCATTTAGACCTTCTGTATGATCATTGCCCCCATGTTGTAATTAAGTTGCCTTCCCTTCCTTCCAGAGCATTCCTAGCCCTGGGCCAGGGGTCCTTTGCAGAGTCCTGCCAACTATTTGAACAGGTCTACAAGTTACAACCAGACAATGGAGTGGTGAGTGGTGAACATTAGTACATGTACATATATTGGGCATTTTCATCTTCAAGTGACACCAACTGTACATGAAGATGTGATTTCATTTTAGTTTTGGTGGTGTTGGGGCACTGCTTTGTAGTTTATGCATCAGAAAAGTAGGGTAGGCAGGAAATGATCTTCCCTCCTGTCATCTGCTTGTGCAGGAAAAAAGTCTACCACTCCCGAAAAAGATTCCCGGAAATGTTTGTGCATCGAAGTTAAAACGTATAATTGCTGCACCCCTGCCATTTCGCATTACTTATCCTGGTCAGTGCTGCTAATTACTAACGTAACCATTTTCTTTCCTTCGTCATAGAATTCGGCTTTAGTAAAAAAATATGTTGGCAAAATCTCATTAGGGAAGATTAAGTCATCCGTATACCTGCTGATTTTGAAGCCCACTGAAACTGCATTTACAATGATTACTTCCTGTTTATTGTCACAATAAAGAGGGCAAGAAAGTGTGCAGAACAATTTTTGACAAGGGTTAGTGTTCTAATGGATCTGGATTCTAATCCCTAGCAGGCCCCAATGCTATGTCCTTTACACCTTTACGCCTTACTCAACCTCACTCAGGTGAAAATGAGTATCTAGAATATGATTATCTTGGATAGGAGGTAAAGCCAGAAATCCTGTGTTTGAGGAGAATCATACATTAAAGACCCCACCACACTTAAGCTCATCCTTGTGTGAGTTAGTCAAACCTTACAGTCTTATGCAGCTAGTACTTACTGTACAAAACTGGTGTGTTATGCCTAAAGGCAGTTAATCAGTTTTGCAAAACAAGAAACAAAATGAACATGCCCCCAAGAATGAGTGTGAGAACATTTTAGCATGAAAGTTCATCTGTCTTGGTATACTTCATTATGACAAAAAGGGCTTGTGTGAGCACAGCAGTTGTAGGACAGCAAATTTTGTTCATTGTACATTTCAACGTTAACATAACTTTCATTACCCCCAATAGGCAATCAACAACACAGCAGTGTGTCAGCTGTACTTGGGGAACCTTAAGGAGGCCCTGAAGATGCTGGAAAGTGTGGTGCAGGAAGACCCCAACCGCTTCCTTCAAGAAGGTCTCCTCTTCAACCTCTGTACGATGTACGAACTGGAGTCCTCGCGGGCCCTGGCCAAGAAACACACCATGCTAGACTTGGTGGGGAAGCACAAAGGGGACGGGTTTAATGCACAGAGCCTTAAGATAGCTTAGGGTTCATTATCTGGGACAGAAATTTGCTTTTTAGGGCCAATAAAATAGTGCAAGAGAGTTTAAATTTCCAAAATTTCATGAGCTTACCCCAAGACCCATGAGTGGGACAGACAAAAATTCAAAGCTGGAGACAGCCCTGACCTGAATGTCCCTGATTTTATTTTCCTGAAGGTAATGATGTCAGGTAAAGACGTCAGTGACAAACTCCCAGGATAGAATACAGGATGAAGACTAGGCTTAGCCACTCCAGTCTCTGTTAAGAGGTTCTAATATTAGATTATTCCTAGCCTCTAGGTCAGCTTATACCTTAGTATATACCCTGCTCATACATGAAAATGTTGTTTCCCACAAATGTCCTTTTTATGGCGCGGTCACATTCATCGTAGGCCCTTTGACCTCGAATTCTTAAACAGGCCATGGTAAACCATGCATTGTACATATAGGACAATATCTTAAGTGCTTGAAATTCCACTAATAATTGTTAAGTACATTCTCATCCCATACTACATCTTTTGTTTTGTAGATTAGACACTTTAAAACCACAAAATTAGTTGTCACTCTCAACAGTCATTGTGTATCTTGCCATGTGTGAAAGCAACAAAGTCACCACAGAGGATTATTACTTTTCTGTATATATAGATGTGTGCATAAATGAGTACCAAGTCATTATTCTATGGTCCAATGTGACATCAAGAACACCATCCATACTAGGTCAATGGTGCTGAACACCATCCACACACTGGTAAACATACCTGTCCTTGTTGCTGAACACTATCCACACACAAGTAAACATGCCTGTCCTTGGTGCTGAACACCATCCACACACATGCAAACATACCTGTCCTTGGTGCTGAACACCATCCACACACAGGTAAACATACCTGTCCTTGGTGCTGAACACCATCCACACACAGGTAAACACACCTGTCCTTGATGCTGAACGCCAACCACACGCGGATACACGTCTGTCCTTGGTGCTGAACACTTTCCACACAAATGTAAGCATGCCCTTCCTTGGCGCTTAATACCATCCACATACAGGTTAACATACCTGCTCCTGGTATTAAACAACCATTCTCAAAAGTTAACCTTTTCCTGGTGCTGAACAATCTCCCATAATAAATTCTGGTAGCTTGGCGTAAAACGTGCCAAAGTATAAAAGTACAGCATAACAGAACTTCTGTTTTTCAGCTCTTTCGTGTGAGGCTTTGATGAAGAACGGATCATTTTAATGAAGGCGTGGTTATTATGTAGGCCATATGTTCGATATTTCAGACTTTGGTTCGATGAAATTTCTTTCATCTATATCATTGGAAAAACAAAGTGCAGTTATCGCTAGCAGCATGTGTAGGGCGTGTGTGGTTACCGCCATTAGTCCAAACTACGCAGATTAACATTGCCGGCGGCCAGATGTGCGTCACTAGCGGGGTATGTTTGATTCGCGTAATGAATCCAAATCAGTCACCCGCCATTAGGTATTGTACCCACGCTTCTCCTTTTTGAAAGAATCTTGACTGGAAATTTACAGCAGAAGAGAGCAACTTCAATCAAGGAATGACATGCTTTCAATTGCTTGCTCTACCCTCACTGGCCGATATGTTTTTTCACCAGGACAATTATTTTCAGCTGTATAGAACATGAGACACGAGTACTGCAGAGAATTACAGACTTACTCCGATGACCTATTATAAGAGGATTAAAGTAGTATGAGCTGATTATTTGTGTGTGTAGCACAGGATACTCCCGATGCTCCTTAAGCTTTCGCAAGAGGTGATCCTTAGCTTATCTTCGGATTTATATAAATTAAGGTGAACTCTGTGTCTCAGTACTCTAATACAGTAACTGTAAATATTTAAAAATTTGCGACGTTTTTTTTAAATAATTTTCGCGGTGTCTCTCCGTTGTAAGATCATGACCCCGCGAACACGTGTTACGTTTCTATCCCACAATACTGATCCTGCCGCGAAATCCCCGCGAAAAGAATAATATCACAATAGTACAGTACACGTAACCTGGAGATAGATGCACAGAATGTAACTGTTTAGATACATATCTAGATGCTGCCAGGTAGCACAGTAAAATATGCAAATTGTGGTCGTTACGATTCCGACAACGTCGTAAGTTGAATCCTTGGCCAGAGGTTACAAGTAACGTTATGCAGTTTGTTACATACATCTGCAGAGCGTTTGCGAGTTCCTTGTTGAATCCAGAGTTCCGGGAATGGCTCCCCCCAACTAGGCTGTCTGTGACGGGAAGACAAACTCGTAACTCGCACAAACTCGACATCCCGTACTGTCGCACCACTCGGTATAGAAACTCACCGATCCCCTACATGTGTCATCTGCTGAACAACGACGGACACTAATCACTCCCTGCCTTGGCGTCCTTACTTATCACCAACTTTAGAAATAATTGTTAACAGTTGAAGTTTGGTTATGTACAGCTGACCATCGAGTTTTCAGGAATATTCTAAATATTTGTATCACATGCATGGGCCTACCTTTTACGCGTTCTTCTGCTCGTAATTTTAACTGTTGTGGTGTGGTTGTAGTATGTGTAATTATTGTGGTCTATGTAGTCTTTCTAATGACTTTGTATTTTAACTTCCTAATGACTTTGTATTTTAACCTCCTAATGACTCTGAATTTTAACTTCATTATGTGCAATACTATAAACTCTTGATTTTAAAAAAATAATGAAATGTACATTGATTCGCATTTCAGTAACTTGTATAAGTTTACTGCCATTGATCAATAAAAAAAATAATTCTTGAGTCTTTTAAAAAAAATTCCATACCATAGCATTTTACCAGTTTCTACACAAAAACAATTTTCAACGGGTTGAAATATCTACACCCTATTTTGAAAACTTATTTTGCGTGGCCGTCACTTGCTATGATTTTCCCGTGTCAGAAACACCGTCTTTCAATTTTCAATTATTACACATGTTGGGCCCCAGATGCAAGTGGGTTGAGATAATTGCCATGGCTACTTTGAAAGAAGCTCGGTTTGTTTGTGTAACTACTATGATATTTGTTTTTAACGTTTCCATGGTGTCGAAGGTCAGAAAGAGCAGTTAAGCCTTGGGGGAAAATTTTGTGTTTCGATTTTAATTTCCCGTTTCCCGACCGCCCTTAGCAAAAACCCAGAGACCTCAGCCATCTTCTGAAGCATTATTTCACGCATTTGCAGAAGCAAATCTTTATTGCAATTCGGGTGAAAAAATTTATCCCTTCTGATGTTTTTCATTCTGAAATTTGCTGTCCTACAACAGCTGTGCTTACACTATTTGAATAACTACAGAGAATCCCTACCTACCACCCTTCCTAGGTCTGAGTATTAATTTCATTGTAGACAATTGCCAGCAATGTTCTTAGGTTGAATTCTATGCCAGGTAGGGAATCCGGTCACAGCTTTTGGTATTCTGGACTGTTGACACGGGTCAGTTTATCGATCATTTCAATCAGTTTATCGATCACGGGTCAAGTATATCGATCAAACAATTACTGGTAACACAAAATTATGTTCGATCATACATTGAAATGTTTTAATCCTCCACTGTTTCGTGGCTAATTCTATGCTGCAGACCATTAGCTATCTCTTGACACATCACGCCGGGCCGATTTAGAATAGAAATCACTGACCCGAGTCTTTAGACGTACGACATGTGTAAAGCTTTATTTCATCTTAGCATATTGCATATCGTCCTTTGTTGTCAGTCAGTCAGCCATGAAGACGAGCAGAGTTTGAACTTTATTTTGATGTTCCTTTACACTACCATTCTGACATTTCACAAAGCTATAGCATATCTTCGATTTAATATTTCTGATATTATAGATTATTGGTCACCTTAGCCAGGGGATAACCTGGTGAATCTATGCTACAAACTTCATTAAGGCAACAAAAATCCTGCCCCGTGATGATCACAATAATCAGGGCTAGCATGACGCGTGTTGGCAAGGGTTTCGCAGTTTGCCTACTTGCAGACTCCGATGAAGGATCTGTCCAGCGGGACGCAAGTCAGCCCCCTTCCGCAGGGGCAGCTCCCGAAGCCGTGGGGCCTCCAGAAAGGGTACGGCTCGAAGTTGCTCCCGACGTGGCACAGGTCCCCGGAGCCCCCGGCCGTCTTGCACTGCGGGGCGGCTCTGGAGAGCAGGGAGGAGAAGACACAGCACGCCCCGTACCCATCCATTCTCCGCATGCACTGAAGGTCATTGCTGCAGACCGGGCCCTAAGAACACAACAACACAATGTAGCGTCAATAGTCTAGCCGTCTCTAAATCTACCATCACACTATCAGTCGCACTATACTTGTGAGGTGGCTAGGCTAGGGACACTATATTGAAGAGGGCTTGATTCCTGGCGAAACGTTGTGTCCCTGGGAAAGAAAAAAATTACCAATGGACTACATTTACCTTTTCACCACCGAATTTGCTGATCACCATAGAGTCGACGGATTTAAAAATCGCCAGAGGGTCGAGTGTATTTTTCCTCTGCAAATCTACCCTATCACAATTATCAGGACTCGGTGACCTGTGGACACTGGCCAGGCCCTAGTAATCACGCAATGGCAGAGAGAGCACCGGCCGTGTTATATTCTGCCGAAAATGTCATATTTAGCTCGCAGACTCGTCGGGCGAGCTAATCTCCTTCTGTGTGTCCCTGTCACACATAGCCGACCATGGCACCCGAACATCTCCAAAACATGGTCGCCTACAAGTTTTTGAAAGTCGTCTGACCCAGCGGACAAATAGATACGGACAAATAGATTTCTTTACTTCGACTTTCATCACAAAACAGAGCAAAACAGAAAACCTGCACATGCCGAGTACATACGTTTGACATCTAAACTCATGTTGTTTTGCATGCAAGAAAAAAATTATGTCGCATGGTATGATACAGATCACGATATGCAAGCAGAAACTCATCTAAGGAAATCCAGGAACAAAACGTCCGTATCCGTTGTTAGTAACGGTGTGGACATTAGTCGTCGTCATCGTACGATGTCGATATGGTGATACCGTAGAGTTTTTCAAGCAGGTTGTGACAGAATCAACAGCCGAAAAGGATCTATGACACCTTGTCCGTAACAAGACTACATCCCAAGAATGTCCTCAGTTTCGTACGAAGGTAGATCACGACGTATGTGACCGGGCTTTGTCATTCCATAAAATGAGTGGAAAACATTCTCTGAACGTAGACGAATGAGAAAGAAAGAAATATACACACGAAGTTGGTAATGAAAATTAAGAATTTTAAACTCACGGCTTCTGTAGGGTTCTGAGAAGACACCTGCACCCAGCAGACTAGGGCACCAACCAGCGCAAATCGGCACAAGAACGGTACGGTCATTTTAAGTATTCCTACGACTGTCGATTGTATCTCCTTATCCTCAGTAGACGTCGAGACGATGTTTCCGGCGTCCGGCACTCTAGCGTTGTGAAGAGCAGGTACACCGGCTTCTGCAATTTATACCTCGTACCAGGAAGTGACGACATTGTCAGAGCTGCCAGATACAGCTGATAGGTTGTTAAAAATCTTCTTAACAAGCAATACAATGACATGTTTTTCGTCTAAGACTTCTGAAGCGTAAAGCCTGGCAGCTTTCTCACGTGTTTTAACACGTTTAACTTCGCACGTAATTGAAGTTACCTGGTTGCTACGTATTTACGTAAAACGTACACTTCAACCTCCTTTCATGCTGGAAAGTTTAACTTTAATTTCTTTATTCCTGGTATTGTTCTTGATCTTAGCCTATATATAAACTGTTGGTGCTCTTGGATGTTACATATATGTGAGCTTTTAAAACCCCTGTAATTTCTTTTACATCATGCAGTCCTATCATATGAAAGAAAAATATTTGAGAGATGTTCTTGTTGGGTTATCCTTTCATCATCGATATCAAGATAAGTTATTGATGGCTTTATATATATATGTGTGTGTGTTTGTTTTGTTCTGGTAGTAACTCGTGACGTTGGTGCTATGGGGGTAAGTGCAGCTGTACAGTGGCTCATAGACCTGGTTTATCCAACGCCCACTTTTCTGTCAATCAAAAATCATTCCGCTCCACTTTTCAGATATTTGCGCAGTTACGTATCATCAGCAGTACCCACGAGATTTGACGATTCTCATTTACGAAAATAATTCAACTCTTCCCTATACTTTCCCACTGTAGTCACATTATTTAACATGATTTTTTAGTTTTTCTATCAAATTCGCATGGAGGTTACAATAATCTATAACCTAATTTGATAGTACCGAAGGAGTATTTTCTGGTCAAAGATCAAACATTCTTACCACCTGTTGATCCTTTGCCGTGTATGCCAGTCACATAAATAGTCTCCGTGGTAATCCCTGTCAACCCATTACATATCCATCCCATTTCCGAGAAATTGCCTCAGATTATGTTTATATCCAAGGGCGTGCTAAAGAAGATCCTGTCTGATTCAAAACCTATTCACAAAGAGTCTGAGTGGACTATACGGGACTATATCTAAGACGTTCAAGGAGTTACATAAAGGCGCAGTCTCGTAGGTCGTCGTGCGATTTCTATTTTTTAATTTCGACTTTTGAATTTACAATCAGCCTTAGCAGGCTGTGATAGAACCAACCGCCGAGGATCTAAGACAGTTTTTCCGTAATTTTGTACGACATGTGTACGGCTAGTACGACAGGCAACTGCCGTGGAAACTTCCTGCTGGCTCTCTCCCAGCTTCTGGGACCCCATTTCCTGCAGTTATTTAGGTAATCCCTCCACCCACGGGCTGTCAGTCAAATACTTACGGACATAATAGCAAGCAAACACGCACTCACACAAGCACGCACATAAAAAAACCTCCGTACCGGGAGGTACATAATGAAAATAGGTACACTATACAGTCGTTAATAACATCAAGGCAAAAAACGTGTTTGACTTCCAAAGCGTGGTAAAAATCCCATATCCTGTCACTGCAGGCCTTTGTGTGTGACATTTGTACCCATTTATGGTCATTACACAAAACATCAGTTTTCAATTAATGTTATGTTTGATGCTTGTTTTGTCATAATGTCGACATCCCACTGTTAGGCATCGGCCATGCCTTTACCACTAAGTTAATTTCCCATACACCCTTAGGCAATTGTCGGAAAAGGTTGAAGTCATTTCGCGTCATTTTGCTAGCTTGTTTGAACGAGCCGTGCAAAAATTCTGGTGACGTCCTTTTCTTTAGATCCAGGGCCAATTAAGTGGTGAAGAATAGCGTAAATGGCTCTGAAGTCGCATTGACTCGAATGCGAGTGAATATGACGACATAATTATGAGCGCTCTATCCTTCTGACGTAGGATGACATTATACATGTAGTTGCTAAGGCTATTGGAAGGAACATCCCGTCTGTCAAATCCGAAAAAAGTCTTATAAGAGCAAATGGCCGGGCAGACGAGAAAGTACATGAATGCATCTGTATCAGTTTGCATCCATCGAGCAGTAGGTATAAGCAGGCCATAGATGATAGAGAGAGTAGAGATTGGGATCAGTGTAGAGATTGCGATCTGCATAGCAGAATCATCGATTGTTCTGCTGGTAGAGATCAAGGCCGAAGTCTCTGTCGACATGCATAGAGATCGCGATAAGGATAAGAAGGCGTTAGCTACATGTAGGGTGGTATCCCATTTACAAATCATGTATTTCAAGTCAAGCCATTTATCTAAAATGAAATGAATCGAAATTGAAAAGTCCTACCTGTTTTTAAGCGAACGTACATGTACATACAGTATGCACAGAAACAATTTGCAGACTCAAATCGGGGTCTATACGGGTAGAATTGCCGATTCTACCAGATTGCTAACTCCACCCTGACATATATAGCGTTACATACTAGTACATATTGTCAGGGCATCATTTTCACATAAATTGTACATAAATCCTGGTAGTGGATACGAAGATGTTGACATTTCATTGCTACCTTCTTTCTTTGTTTTATTGCTTTCAACTCCATAAAAGCAAATCCCGTAGATCATCTGAACGTCCATGGTTACTTTCATTTAGCTAAAAGCTGTTTGAGTCACGAAGCATTAGAAGTGGTTTCTATGGATTCCAACATAACAAACAGACTGCCGCAAATTATGTCAACTCTGTATGCCTTTTCCTTTCTTCCCGGTGAAATTAATTTTCTAGTCATGAATCGTGATGAGAAGACGATGATTGTCGTTCGGTAATTAGTACTGGACACAAAGATTTCGAGAGAGCTTTTATCTCAAGGCGTCCGTACACATTTTCATTATGTTGCCACCAAAGTTCCTAGAATCTAGAACTGTTAGGTATGGTATCAAATTAGCTACTTAATGGGATTACCTATTTTGAATTGTGATTGGTCAGGACTTGCATTACTTTGTATGTAACAGTAACTGTTACTGGCAGCTCTCGCACGTTGTCTAATGATTTTGTTCTAAAACTGTAGCTCCCCCTGTAGTTGGAAATTGATAGTGCAGGTCATGTTTCATGGGTAGATAGACGGAAGAGAAGTTGGACGTTACACCTGTGCGTAGTTTCGGGAAAACATTGAGAAAGTTCGACCTGAAAAGACGTTTCTACACATGTACAAGTTGTAGAGTGTTTGTTTACAACAAGAATTCAAAATATATTCGTATTCAAAGTCCAGTTAGATTGACTTGCCATGTTGAGGACAAGTGTTGGTCCATATGCTGCAATACTTCAAGCAGTCGTTGTAGGCATTTCCTTGTGGATGTGTAATGTTGGAGAAATGCACACAAAAATAGCATATTAGAACCATATGAAAAGTAATCTATTTATTATACCTCTTTTGATATCAATTAAAAAGTAGATCTCAAAATGTCAAGACTGTTACCACTGTTTCACAGTGAGCAATTAGGATGTAGATGTCATGTGGCCATATAACGTCATTTTGCCCTCAGACTCAGTCAAGGTACATGACACTGTATAGAAAGTATAGCACCAATTAAAACAACATACTAAGCTCATTTCATCAAAATACTTTGCATAAAATAGATGTTTCATGTGATATTCTTATTCAGATTATCTACATACATGTATGCTCTACATAATAACATTGTTGTCTTGCCTCTTTGCATAGATGTATTTCAGATATCATATACAATATACTACTAGTACTACTTGTGATCTTTATAAACACCAGTCAAATCATGACCTATAATTCCCTCATGTAGCAGCCATATGAGATAGTCCTTCTCTGCAGTTGCATTATGTTGTGTGCCCCCGTCAGGCTGACCTCCGGTAATGTGCTCGTAGTAATGGTTAAGGATGGACGACCCGTACCCAAACCCTGCCAGGTCAACTTCATCACAGTAGTGAAGGGCAAAGGTCATGGCTATCAGACCCATGGTGGGCCACTTGCCCTGTGTGTGGAGAAGAAATAAAGAAAGTTTTTAAAAGGTACATTTAGTCACTGAAATTTACATGCCAATTAAGCACATCATCTAAAAAGTCAAGGAACCTGTGGTGAACAATAATCTACCAAAGGTATTTGACTAGATGCTCTAATGGCTATGTTTATATCCTGCCATGAACAGGACATGTTTGCATATTAAGTTTTATTTTCATTTCAATTTCAAATTTCTAGGCTACTGAGGTTAATAAATAAAAAATCTTGCACCACTACATCAGCTTTAGTTTATGAAACATCATTTGGACGATAACTCATATGATCAGTAGAAAGTATGTACAATATGGGTTGATTTTACTTTGTATTACAAACATGTATATTACCTATTTCATCTGTTGACCTGTACTTAGCCCGATAGGGCATGAATTAAGGGTTAATGTCCTGCCCCGAGGTGAATATGGTGTGATAAAGCCTTGTCAGTTGCTATAACCACCGAATAAAGCCACCAAGTGAGCGCAGCGAACGAGGTGGCTTTATGAGGTGGTTATAGCAACTGACAAGGCTTTATCACACCATATTCACCGAGAAAGGGCGGGGCATTAACGCTATTATCATATAGCTTACGCGATAGCCTATCCAAACTGATGCAGTGAAGAGTAACACAATGTACAATTTACCCCTTGCACATGCTGAATAGAACATAGAATATTTGTTCCATCTGGAGTCACCTGAGGTCACTGGGGGGTTCACGTTCTATGGCCTTCTATCTGGGTCACAGGCAGGGAACAGGTGTTCTTATGGGAGTCACCCGAGGTCATCGGAACACAACTTTTGGATTTTTTAGAAGTAGAGCCGTGTTCTATTGGGTCACCTGAGGTCATATGCGGGTGATTATTCATTTTGTTTAATGTATGGATTGGGATGAATAAATACCCGATTTTGACTCTATTTGTGACATTACGGCGACATAAAGAATGTGGAATGGAGCCTTCTGATTGGTCGACGTCACCCGGCTATATGATAATGTACAATAAAGGTTATTATTATTATTTATTATTATTTTTATCTATTTATTGAGAAACCAGACTGTAAGATTTAATATTCCAACTTTTCAATATGTGTGGTGGAATGGTGCTCAATTCTAAGGCTAGGCAATAACCATGCGATAGTGTTCAGCACCAAGGACAGGTCTGTTTGTGTGCATGGATTTTGTTTCGTTCTATAAATGGCAAACAGCCTTTAGGCATAACACACCAGTTTTGTACAGTATTACAAGCTGCATGTGGTAGGATCTTGTGGTAGGATCAATGTGCTGGAGGTATGGCTATATATAGGTCTCAAACATGGGACTTCCGGCTTTACATCCCATCCGAGAGGATGTCACTGAAGCTAGGAACGCATTTTTACCTCAGTTGATTAAAGAAACAATTTAAAGCCAAATTCGAAGTAAAACCCACAAGACCTTGCTAACTTATGGATGCTTTCACTAATGATGACGTTGCCACCATCATGCTTTTACTAAATTTTACTACATATTTCTCACCTGTAGCCTGACATGTTCCCTTGCTGCTACCTGCAGAACTTGAGGGTTGAGAATCAGGAACCGAGCAGGATCAATGTCCAGCTTCTGCGCAATACTCTTCCAAAAATGTCCAGTAGGTTTTACCTACATGATGACAGTTTCCCAAGAGAAATTAAGATTTCTATGCATTCATTGCAATGATATTCGTCATAATTGTTTGCTTAACTTAATTTTCTCTCTCTAGGATCTCAGTACATCCAACATGCCTTACCTTGGTCAGGATAGCTTGCAGCCAATTTAAGTCGTTACTCTTGTACATAACGACAACATAGTAGGCACTGGAATCAAGGTCGGCCTGGTTCAAAGTTGAACTCTCCGGGTAAAAAATTCGAAAGTCTGTCCGAGACCCCACATCCTTTTCATAACCTTTGACTGGAGCATCATTCATCCTGCACAGTTCAATACAAAATGTAAGAACAACTAGAGGTCAGGAATCATGAATCATGCCTTCATATATAACATTAAAGGCTTCACAGAAAGTTAGATAGTAATGATTTTCTTCATTGTGTTTAGAAATGATGCTGTGCTTTAAAGAACTACACATGTGCTTACACTAGTTAGAAGTCTGACTACTATTTTTTTGTGTACAATATTATGAAGAGGTGAAGATGAAAACCTACCTGATAACTACATCAAAGGCATCTATTACCGGCCCAAGCCCTTTGTCCAGAAGTACCCCTGAACTGCCAAGAACCAGACATCTTCTGCACCCATTGTCACTGGTAAACATAACAAAATCTCAGTTTTATGATGAGCTGATAATCTACATTGTATATAGTTCAGATTACTGCCCAACCCAAGACTTCTAACTGTAAATGTGTATGTGGTTTTATTATGCAGTAGGAAGGAAAAGGATTGGTTTTCGCTGTGTTTGATGTTTGCAGTTGAAACGCAGAGAAAAATTCCACATCCACCTACATTCAAAAATCCAGTATACATGGATGGTGCAGGCTAGGTGTGGTTCGGGTGGCAGAGGAAGAGTGGCACCCGACTTAAGTCAAGGTGCAGGTAGACATAACTTTGCCTGCACTAACCTGCATATGCAGATAGTATTTAGAGTCCTGGAATACCTGGTCAATAAACTATCGAACAGTCACTAAGAAAAAGAAAGGCTGAGCATTTACCTTTTGATAACTGGTCGGCCATTGCTGGGGAGAAGTTTCAACAGTGTGTCCAATCTAACTACTGCCAAAACGAACAATACAAACATACATGACTGTGTCCCCAGCTGAGTCATAATCCATTAAATTACATAATACAATCCTCTCCAAAGTAAATTCCAATACATTATATTAAAATAAATGAAAACTCAAAGCAATTCATAGAGGTCGGTAAACTTGAGGGCTTTAAAAACCCAAAATACGGATACTTCCTAGAAGTCTGAAATCTTGGATTTCTAATGTTTTCTATGATATTTCTTGGTAATATTCATGATGTCAATATGATACTGAAGATGAAGCTTGCTTACAGTTCGCACTAGAGAAATCAAACGGCAGTCCATTGAGCGAGGATTTACCCAGCACACCCCACTGTCTGTAGTTCTGAGTGATGAACATGTGCATGTCAGGGTCAAAGCTGCAAGGACAAATTAATTTTAAAGTGATTAGTGAACAGTGGGTGCTGATTGGATAAAAGTACAAAAGCAGTACATGTATAAAACAAACAAGTCCAATTTTGCATATTGTACAGTTGCAACTTTTAATCAAGTCGTGTTTGCTGAACCGTTGTGATTAAACAATTTACCAAATTATGATTTCAAAAATTTAATATATACGAGAAAAAGTTGCACCAAAGTAATATTTAGAGAATTAATATAATACAATGCAGAAGTATTGCCAACACACACACACACACACATATGCATGCATGCACAGACACACACAAACACACACACAAATATAAAATGTATTACACACTTTAAGACATACCTTAGCATAAATTCTCTTAACTTTTTTTGTATAAAGCCTTTGATACATGATCCATGGGGATATGTTCCAGTCCTGTAAGGAAGGTCACAAATAAAGAAGTCTAAAAGATCACCCAATAAAATTTAGGGTGTCATACATCTGTCTTAAGTAAACGTAGCAATTAACAGCGCTAATTCTGTATGAGATTTTCCTGGGGATACCAGGACATTATCACCTGACTGTGTAGAGATTTTATTGTGCGTCTATGCATTAACTTGTGTTAATTATTTTCACTTGCCATCACTATGTTAGGTCAAATGTCCCAGAAAAGGTTACCTCATTTCCTGTTTTCAATTTCCTAATACATGTATATGCATGTCTGTTGCCAGTAATGGAAAAGGAGGAATTCACAAAAATGCACAAAAAACTTAAATTTCTTGTTTCCCACCTGTTGTTCTCCCCAGGTGATTTTATACTGACATCTGCCTCCTTTTCAACTGTTAGATGTACAGAGTCTGGAAATTAGTCATGCGCAGTTGTCAGAGTTTCCCACAGGACAGTATAGTAAAGATTCGGGCTCAAAAAGGATATGGACAACATCAAAATTTTTATTGAACTAAAAAATAATATTAATTAACGTTATTTTAACAAAAATAACACATAAAAAAATAAACTTTTAGGAAAATGTGTACCTTTGTTTGGAATGAAAGCATGCACATGAGTCTTGACATCATGATCGGTTTGGACCATATGTTGCACAGGACGGCCTGTGTCTTTCAGCTTGATTCTACCTTTTCTGTGGCGATGTAACGTCTGGTCATAGAAAATCCACAAAATCCCAACTCCCACAATGAGAAACAACACTTTCAGGAATGTAGCCTTTCCCACATGCATTATGAGTCATGTCTCTTCATGCAGTTGTGCAGCTCTTAGGTAAGCATGTCATGTCTTTGATCCAATTTTCTGATGTGGAAGAAAAAAATTAATGTTGTCAATTATGTGGTACAACAAAAGATAATCAATCTTGGAAAGACAAAACTAATGCAAAAGCATATATGTCAATAACTTTAGTTTAATAGGTTAACTCACCCACACCTCAAAAGAACATTCTGTCAGAAAAAGTGACTACATGTATTAGTAAATATCTCATTATTAAGATTTTGATACTTCAAGGAACTGGATTGACCATGCAGAAAGAAAAGTTTGAATTTTTTGTACCAAGTCTGTCTTACGGTACAGAATGTGATATGGTCTGCACAGAGCACACACACACCCTCCTTTAGTTCAATAGTTACAGTCTTAAGGCCTCTTAATTGATAGATTGTCTATTACTAGTACTTGAATTGAATACTAGTAAGTTCATTACATAATTGATGAACCAACTTGTTAGGCCTGGGGATATTAAGTTATTTGCAGATTTTGGGACATTGAGTTATTACCGAATGCAGCAATTAATGTCAAGGCCCTTAATAATCTATGGGTTTATGCAAACACTGACTCAATCCGGCTAGACCGGAAAGTAACTCCAGTGTAGCGATAAACGGCCGCAGTATTTAGGACACCGACGTTTGGACAAATTATCACAATACTTTTAGTATGTATAATCCTTACTTCATGCAATATGCATGCCATACCAAGGAACAAAACCAAGCTAGAAAACCAGCCCGAACTTGAACCAAGTGAAACCCAACACCTAGAGACCATTCCTAGCGAAAAATCAAATGAACTGTGAGCAAGGACAACAACAGCGACCCTGCAATACAGTTTTATCTTCCCTCTATCGTTGGTTGGTCGCATGTTTCAACATATTTTTACATTCTAAATTTACGACGGATGAGTCTCCCTAGGCTAGTGTGTCGTCCTACTGGTGCACCTGTTTTGCACAGGTCTGGTCGCAAATACCAATGAGGTTCAACCCTTGCAATAGTACGTAAATCAAGAAGGGAGGGGGGTACCCATGTTAATCTTTTACGTCAACTTATAAAAAAACAATAATAGCATATAGCTAGAACGCACATTTTGAAGATACAGAAACCATGTGTAAAGCCATGAATGAATGTAGCTATAAAACTAGTCTCGTAGTAGACTTGTCGTTCGAACAATATGTTAAACACTTTTAACCTTGGCTTACCTTCCAAAAAGAGAACTCGTCAGCTATTGTATTTTCACCGTCATAGTATTGCACGTTTCTGTACTAGCGAGTTGCGTAAGTACGTCCTAATAACGCCGTCAATCGAATCGTCTATCTGTGATATCGTTCAACACCTGTTTCCGCATTGACCACCTCGCGGGTTACTAGTAGTACGAATGACGCTGAGTTTATACCAGTGGGGTAACACCGCCTTATGGGCGTGGTAACTTCCTGTCACTCACCTGCCTTCATTCAACTTTAACCCCGTATCAGTGTGTGTATAGGATCCAAGAGGTTAAAATCAATATTTAACCTACTTGATAGGACCTAGGTATTTGATACACTACTTGAAAAGGTACTTAGAAAAGGGACTCCCGGGTTGTAGGGATTAGGAAAATGGAACGGTAGTGGAGAAATCTTTCATTATTTCAATCAACAACGCCTTTTAGGTATTGACCTACTACGGGTCAGTGAGAATGCTGTGTATGTAAATGTTGACATATATACCGACCTAGAAAAAAAGCCAAACCACGGCTTATACCTCATTGTTTTCATACACGAAGGTAGGCATACACGCTTGGAAATAAGAGCCACGAGAGTTTTCGTTTGGGATTAGCAGCCCAGTGGGTCCAATGAAAAGGGGCCGGCAAATGATCAAATAGCCGTATGTAGCCTAGTCTTCAACTTACCAAACTACTATAACTTTGGATCAAGTTGATTGTCATTCAGGCTGCGTCAGTTTAGGAAATTCATGTATACACAACTGTGAGAAAACAAAGACCCTCTCTGTCTAACGTATAGGGTCAATTTCCTGCTTAGTTCGAACAAGGACATTATACCTTGGTTCAAAGTATTTGAAAACCCCAGAGCCTTGTGTAAACTCCGTATTAGCCGTACACCGTTAAAAGATAGACTATGCAAGTTCTGTAACAATTCTTGTATTGAAGATGAATCGCATTTTATGTTTGACTGTAAATTATATGATAACGAACGCAAATCACTGTTCAGTTCAATTAAGCTCGACAAAAAACGTAAAACATTATCAAAGGAAGACACTTTTAAATATATCATATCATGTACAAATATAAACGTCATCAATGAAGTATGTAAGTATATTTCAAAATGTTTCAAAAAGAGAGAAGAAGCCATTAGAACTTAGATCTATACCACTTCATATATATATATATATATTTCTTTTTTAGCATTGTATACCTTAGACCTGATGTTAGCCTTTCTTTATTTCTATTGTTGTAGTACTCTCTAGTACATTGTACTTTGTACATCCGTGCATTTATCGCCCGGGGAATGAACATGCAATAAATTTTCAATGTTTCAGTACTTTCTAATGCGACGGACAGGTCTTGGCACCTTGGTGAAAGTAGTGCACTTGGAAAAAATGAGCCAGCTGACGCGTCAGAAGTTATTTGTTATTATTCAATTTCAATTAAAAAAAATGAAGAACTTTGCGTGACTCTGATACAGCCTGACATCTGCTAGCCTCCTTCGGAGACTTTTAGGGCGCGGCGATATTTTTTTCGGTGAGCGGCGCGAGTCATGCCGCGGAGGGACGACTTTGCCGACGAGGGAGATTTGCCAGGCCCGCTGAAAAAAAACGCCGCGCCCTACAAGTCTGCGAAGGAGGCTAGACATCCGCCTGGAGAGTTAACGTTGTCTACTTCTTGCTTCTACTCAAGATGAATATGTAACGCACCTGCTAACTAGAAAGGTAACATTTGCAAAGCAAATGCATAATGTTTACCTTCGCACACGGTCTGTTCTGTCAATTCTCACTCACACACATTCATATATATGCGTGACAGGAGTCCAAATGAATCCCTCCTGCCGCAATATAGTGCAACGCTAGTTACCATAGTGACAGACGGTCTGGTTCAGGTCATTGACCTTTTGTGTTTGGAGAAGAGGAAACTGAGCAAAAAACATTATGTTTTCCGTCGGTAAACAATAATATTGCGCTTATTATTGTCTGGCCATTATTGTCTGGCACCAACTAGACCAAGTCAATCAAACCCTTTGAGATCGGAGCGAAGAAAAAAATATATGGCAGGTTCGATTTTCACACGTTACCATTAATCAAAATTTCTTGTTCAAACGATTTCCATACAATTTACCGCATGCATGATTCACTGCCCTCGATATTATGACTGGTAACGTTGCATCGTACATGTACATGTGGCACTATCCTCATCTTTTTTACAGGCATTACTGAGCATTACTATTTTGAAACGAGCTGTATATAAAACCACAGTACTTTTTCTTTTAAGAAGCAAAGAAATTTTATATACGTTAGGATTTAACATTGCCGTCACGACTAGACTCTGACAACTTGGTTCTTACTGGTATGATAAGTGACGTTACCGCCTACCACTGTACCAGTTCGACGAGTTACTACATCCGGGACCTTCCGGCTATGGTTGATTTTACATATACGAGGGTGTGGTGGGGTTTTGGTAGGAAGATGATTTTCATCGTTCAGTCAGAAATATTATGCTACATACAAATAGTAAAGCCATTATTACAAACAGTATATACTTGGTTTACATTGGTTTATTATTTTTGGTTCTATATATTGAGGACCTACAGACGCTCGAGTATTGCGGAAAACCCCTTGAGGGAACTTCAACAAATTCGTCAGCCGACCTGCACCAGTCACTGCTAAAATGGGAGTCCAAATAGAAACTATCAAACCAGGCGATGGTAAGACCCGATTTTGAAATATGTCTCTATTTACACGTAAATTGTGTATTTTGAAAGGTTCTGATGTCTCCTCTTTTGCATTTTCAGGCCAAACCTTTCCGAAAAAGGGACAGAGGGTCGAGGTGCACTACGATGGTAAGTTGGGAGGGTGGGGTGAGTGGGGAGGGGGGCGGCCTGGCCTAGTGGCTAGATAGTATCTCGCCAGTCTGTGCATTATCTAGCAGAAATTTCTTCAATCACGACTCTTTGCTTTGAAGAATTGTACTCCCTTCTCTTTTTCGTACGCTTCATAGTGAAATTTGTGAAGATATTTTGACGTTTGACGGGCTCCAAGTCGGAGGTATGTCGGCTATGAAAGTTCCCATGCCAGTCAGTATGCATTACACTAACACTTGCACCTGTCACGTGAGCTTACCTCACAACACCATACCATTTGGCCATTTGGCTAGAATTGAGAAGGTATAGCAATGCATTTCATGCTACTATATTGATAATCAGGTCTAAACAATTTGTTGACTTCTGAGTGAAGCACCCCCCTTTCCCACCCAATGAAATGAACGCTTTTGAAGGGGTTTAGCAGCATTTTTGCCAGCAAGGCTCAAAAATGATGTTCAATTAAATCTAAACCCACAGATATGAATATGTGTTTGTTATGATACACCCAAATGTGTGCATGTGGCATACTTGAGCTGTGTGACTTGACTAAGTTTGTATAATGGCTCATAGGGGATTGTAGATCATACCAGGGACATTCCTCAAGAAGGAATGCCATTTGGGCTAGACAAAAATGTTTGGAATAAACTACTCTCCAAGCAGAGGTTTGGGTTTGAGGTTATTTTTGGCATGTTTTTAGGCTTTTTTATCGGGGTTTCTCTTTTGCACTGGAATTTTTTTTCACCCAACCTCTACCAACACTACCAGCTAGTCAGAAAAGACATTCATTCGGCCACATGCCTCCGGCTGACTGTGCCCATTCATGCGTCTGGTTCACACCTCCTAGCAGAACGACTGTAATGTGTTGAAGTGATTAGGTTTATAGCACATTGACGCTTTCGACTGTCGGTAGAGGTTGGGTGAAAAAAAATTCCATTGCAAAAGAGAAACCCAGATAAAAAAGCCTAAAAACATGCCAAAAATAACCCCAAACCCAAACCTCTGCTTGGAGAGTAGGAATAAACACTGTCAACACATCCTCAGAGTAGCTTCTTCCTCTCTATGGTTCAAATTTGGACAGTCTAAAGAATAGTGATTTCTCAACAAGCTCCCACCCCAACTAATCATCATCATCAGTCAGCTGCAGAGCTGTCAATCACAAGTTTAGTCCATGACAATCTGTCCACAGTCAGCGCAGGAATGGTGTCAGGGCTCAGTTCACCTTCCGTGTCCCTCAACAGGTTCAGTAAAAACAGCCTCAGGGTGTTATTCTTTATACACATAGACTGCTGGACGAAACCCTATTGTATGGTTATTAGTTATGATATTACTACTGAGATGGGACTTGGACAGTGAAGTTAAGTCAACTGATTGAAACTTGAAATGATAGCATATGCCTTTCAGAATTGTACCATCTCTTATCTGTGATGTCAGAAACAGTGAAAACTGTGTGTTTTCCAATGCCTGTGTCATTCAACAAATGGAAACTATGTCAAGTATGTGACATTTGTCCCAGTGAGTTCTCCACACCACAGACATGACAGAGGGAAAGTGTCTGTGCCTCAGCTGTAGGGCCTTAGCAAGTAAATTTTATGGATGACATCCGTGCACGTTTTGATTTTCTCCTGATTTCAGAAGAAAAAGAAATGTTCTCTTTTGACTATGTCTGGAGTGTACAAGATAGGCTATTATGTAGCAGTTTGTTTGAGCCCTTGTTTACTCATGAAATGCTCAAATTAGCTTGCTGGCCACTTTTAATTTTAGAACCAACACTAGTGTGGTTACCTTGAGTGTAATTATTATAATCATAAATTATAGTGATACAGTACTACTACTAGACTAGGCTATCGCTAGTCACTACCACACTAGTAATACACTAGAATCACTTTCTGTGCTTGTTGGCTGTTGTACCATGTGCTTTAATTCTTGTATGTTACATTGTCTTGTTGTATCTATTTTGAAAATATAATTAATTCTTTTACAATCCTTTTTGTGTCTGTGTGTGCTCTGGCATTAGATTAAAGTCTGCAGATGATGCCATACATGAAGTTTACTTGCTGTGGCCTGGTTAGATAATCAGACTCAGCTTGGTGTTTGTGGATGTGTCCCAAATACCAGGAGTTGGAACTCACATTTTTGATGCCCTAGGCCACTCCCACTTTTCCATACCACTTTTCAGCCATGTTCAGTTTCCTGCAGAAGTACACTGAATTGTTTCGACATCACTGGAAATTGTTTAGATTTTAATTCCTTTTTACCAATTTCACAAATGGTAGCAAACATTACAACAAGTCAACAACTCTCCAAGCAGAGGTTTAGGCTTTGGAATATTTTGATGTGTTTTTATGTGTAAGTTGTTTTTATCAGGCTTTCTTTTTCTACTGGTATCATTTTTTTTTACGCCAGCCAAATGTATAGATCCTGTCCAATTCGATACTGTATTGCAGCTACCAAAATATCTGCATGGAGATTAACAACAACATATATCTAGCATACTATAGTAGTAGTAGCAGCAGAACATGACTACTGCAGATTATATAAAGATAGATGTGTCAGAAATACAACCCCACTACAATTATTAGTCCCCCATGGTTTTAATTTTACACTTTAATAGTACATTTTTTGTCCTAGACGCCCCCCCCCCCAAAAAAAAAAACTATGGGTAGCTTTGTTAGTTTTGACCCAAAGCAAAGTCTGGAAATATTTACACAACTGTAGTAGACCAATAGCCGCTTATTAAATGCTGGCATTTCACACTTAGTCTAGGCATATGTTTCATAATAGAGTATGTATATTTGAAGTTGAAAAATGCCTCCCCAAAATTCAGGATTTGATTTCTTAGTAGGAGGGAAAATCTCCTGCACAGCTGTGATATATTCTTGAAAACCCAAAACTCTTCCCGGAAGTCTGAAATCTCAGATTTCTTGTTTGTACTTGTAATGTTGACATTGTTGGATTTTTGTTTCCAGGTACCCTGACAGATGGGAAGAAGTTTGACTCCTCTCGTGACAGGAAAACGCCTTTCTCCTTTAGAGTTGGGGAGGGGGAGGTCATCAGAGGTACAGTGGTACTTTATCTATGATTGACAAATGTACATCATTGAAATTTGAATTGGCACCTTGGAGTTTTGTATGTCATCTCAACTTCCGTTTCAAACCTGTACTCATTTTCAGTTCGAATTTAATCTAATTTGAATTTTTTTATATATGATAACACAAGGACTTTGTCAAGATGAAAACATATTTTGCCCTGTAAATACCAGTAACACAGTTACATTTAAATTATGCACATGTCACTTGATTGTGGCATCCTGTCAGCTATGACGTTCTTGTTTTACTGAAATGTATTTTTTTATGTGTTTCAGGCTGGGATGAGGGAGTTGCTCAGGTAAGAAATGGATATTTAGTTAGGCCCAAAGATTTGAAAATTAAATGTCTATCAATAATATTGAATGCTCCAAATACCCTCTCTCCCAATAAGTATATATAAAACATTCATATTCAAGTTTGATCAGAGACTGCAGTAAATTAGTTATTTTGGCGAAATGAAAGTCACCATTCATTGATGTTGTTTATGTAAAGAGAATGACATTTGTCCAAAGTCAAGGCTTAAACTAACACCTATATATTCAGGTTGGTATGTGTAAAATGGGAGTTGTGCAAATACATGTACAATGTGTTTATCATAGTAGTTCTGTCCAGGTAAATTACAACATGATCTTTGTTCCAAGCATTGACAGAATTTTGTGCCGTCCAGATGGTATACTGCCATTTCCGTAGACCTTCTCAGTGCATGTCAGAGTGCCAACACATGCTGCAAAGACAAGAATTTAGTTCAGAGCCTGAGTCAACACAATCAAAGCAGCCCAGGAAGAGGCTTCCCTCTTTAATGTAGATCCAAGGTCGAAATATCAACAACATCACAAAAAGGAAGTGTTCCTCAGTTCTACCAGGGGTAAGAGGAAATAGGGGTGAAGTGCCTTTCCCCAGGGCACAGCATTGGAGTCTGCTAGGGATTTTACACAAGAACTTTTAGCTTCTAACTGTAAGTCAACAACCCAGGGAACAACCCTAACTACAAGACTGCCTTTCCCCCTACATGTACTGCTGCAACTGAACCATTTTACTTTAATACAGAATAAGGTGAAGAGGAGTTTTTCTTCACTGATGTGTTCCTTTGTATTCCATGATGCTTGTCTCATTGAAATGTTTTCTCGACTCCTGATTCAGATGAGTGTTGGGCAGAGAGCCAAGCTGACCTGCTCATCTGACTACGCATATGGCCCAAAGGGGTACCCTGGCGTATATCCTTTCTCACATTTCTCACACATATTTGTTGACCATTTCTTGTGTTTACATGTTTTTCATGGCTGTCATGTAACAAACATTTAGTTCAGGTAGCTACGGACACACCAATTTAATTTGTTGTTTCTCAGATTTTTTCAGAAAAAATATGAAGCGACAGGGAGAAATGAATAAAAAAAAAACAGGCCAAGGCACCCCATGATAGCTGGAAATGTTACAATATGAGCCATGAAGTGAACATACCAGGCTGGTTTATAATTGAAATAATAGATTTTGAACTTTTAATGAAACAAAATTGCATTGTTACATTGAAAAACTTTAACAACCAGGAAGAAAAGGACTTTCTTCAACTGTCAGGGCCAAAATATGTCTTTCATTAAGCATTTTGCAGTTTATTTATAACATCCGTGTCCATAATATCACCAGGGTCCATAATATCGCTACCTTGAGAAATAGTGTGCTTTAAGATATTTTTACTGCAACATACTTTTGGTATGCTCTCCTGCACACCTCAAATGTACATACCTAGGGTATGTTGCAGTAAAAATATCTTTAAGCACACTTTTTCTCAAGGTGGCGATATTATGGACTATGGTGATATTATAGACACAAATGTTTAAAAAAAATGGACAGGGCGAATCTGAGAAACAACAAAATAAATTGGTGCGGCTTAATGCTGGAATATTGATGCTTTAATGTTACATTAACAATACATCTATTTTCTGTAAATTTGAATTTTCTCTTCACTTGAATTTTATGGTTTTGGAACAGCCCTGGTTTAAACCTGATATTCTATTGCAATTTGACCTTAACCTGTCTCACTATCCCACCCAACGCAACCCTGATCTTCGATGTGGAGCTCCTTAAAATTCTATGAGAGTCTACAGTTGCCATGGATACCAGGAGAACCATGCTTTTTCTCTCAGAAAATTTAGCCCAGAATTATTCATAGGAGTAGCTCCCTTCCCAAATGTGTGTTGATATGTGCCTGGGTATAACTTCTTGCTCTTCTTTTCAAATGTTTTCAAATCTAGAAACAGAGAAACCCATTCCCAACAAATTATGCAGTGATGTTACCTAGATTAAAATCCATGTGTGTTTGTTTTTCTGGTGGACAGTAGAGATCTCAACATCCCTTGAAAGTGTCTTTTTTCTGGCTGCACACATTATGATAAGAATACCTTGATATTCAGATAGCAATCTTGATATTTGAAATCCCACAAGAAGGGGGACTGCAAAATGTCCTTAGAGAGGGAAGCTCTGTTTTTTGAAAAAGAAATCCTCTCCAAAAGAATTTTATCCTATATACAGTTGCCAGCTTTCATGTAAATGCTGATCCTGTAATGTCTGCTCATGTTACTACTGTAGGCTTCCCTCTAGTGCATCTGTGAGAGATGTCATTGGCAGCTTGCAGAGTAATCAATGACACCAGATACACTGTGTATCATTCAGGGAAACACAGCATACTACAAGTCTGTTGTACATGTAGAGGTCATGCGAATAAGCAGGATCATGGTTCCAACTGAGCATACACATCAAGAAGCACTGGGTTAAATGTCAAATGTTGAAGGTAGCTGCAAGATAAACAAAACACATCTGGACATGAGTTGTTTAAGTATGGTCCACACAAGAACTGTTTACACATTAGGGGCCTTCACCTGTGACATATTACCCACAATGCCTCTCACTGTGCATATGCAGTTGGGACCATGAAACAGCTGACACCCATGGACCTCAACATGCCTGTTTAAAGTTGCTCTGTGCTCTCAAAATGATTCTGCTCATTAAAAGATTCACAAAAGAACTTTTTTTAATATAAGGCCTTGTTGATTTGATTATATGACAACCTCTGGGAACCTCTCAACCCCAAAACTGACACGAGCGTGCAAATAAAAAAAGTTTGGCAAAAAAAGTTTCCTTCATTATGAAATCTATGTAGTCACAAATAGTACCACATACACAGAGTATGGTATGAAGAATAATAATAGACTCTTCAATTTTATTTCTTCACACTTTCGTCTTTTTCTGAATTGATTTCGGAATTCCATGACATCATTATCGTTTTCCAATTTTTTTTTGCAATATACGGCATATATTCATTCATTTTGTACGATTTACAGCATGGTTGAAATTTTTTTTTTCTTTGGAAACGGACAAAAAGTCATGTGCGCGTGGATGTCATCCATATAATAAAATCAACATGGCCTAAGCCAAGATGAGCCTACATTTATGTGGGGCAAATATATTGGGTCTCCCTTTTTTTTGTAGACATCATTCAAAAGACTGCTGTGAATGAAATACAAGACTTCATTCAATGTGTCTTTGTGTAGGGAGTTTCTGTTACATACAAGCTCACTGCCACAAATAATTGTCATTTAGGTCATTTGTAAGATGCTCATCGCTGAAAAAAATGACTAGAAAAATTGCAGATCTAAAATATGACCCAAGTACATGTGTAGCAGACAGCACTTAAAAATGTGTGCCTTTTCTTAGAGATGTTTCAGATGTTACCTTTCCATCTTAACTCAGCTCTTTCATTGTTTGATGTTTTGATAAGGTTGACATTTTTGGGTAGGTAAAACAGTTAAGCCAATACTATGAAGTAGGGTCTTAAATGTACTGCAATGAAATTATTGGTGGTGATTCAGTACATAACAGTGCAACCATAGTAAAGTGCTTGTGGCAAATTGCATATTACATAGTACAAAGAGATACATATGATAACCAAGAATTCAAAATGGTTCTGGGGATTGGGGTATGGCAAAAGAAATGAAAGCAAAGATAGATTTTTAGCATCTGTTCATGTTATTGCTTGCTTGATATAATCATGCACCTATAAGTATCTTTCACTAGAGCTACCTTTACAAGTACTTTCCATAACTGGGGATTGTGCAACCATAGGCTCTATTATAACTAGGGAACAAACCTTTACCATTTTGCTATTTTAGGCCAGGTTGTCTTGTTAGGTCTGAAGTTGGAAAAGACTAGGTTGGTACTTGAGCAATCTACCATGCATTTGTGAACAAAAACAAGTAGTAGTCTTTGACATCCTGAGGATGTTACTCCAAGACAAGGCTAATATTTCAGAAGGATGTAACATCATGCTTGCCTCCTCAATTCTATTGGAAGAAAACATATGGTTTCATATCTTAGGTTTAGATACTCTTAGGTTGTGTTTATGGTTGTGTAAGTGATGTGTGATACTACATTAGAAAGTGTTTGTTCCAGAAGTCAAACTGTGAACCAGCTGATTGAAAGCTGTTCCCAATGGTTTTGACCAATACTGTAGCCAAAGCTTACACTTGCCAGTTGCCAGTCCCCTAGACTTTCTGTACTTTGACAGCAGAACGTTTTAGTGGTTTCACCCAAGTTCCTCTAAACTTATTCCCATTTTTTTAAAATAGATGTTCCATCGCAGTGATTGCAGTAGCCCAATCATCAGAGGCATTGCTTGGGAACAGCAGCAAGAAATCATATTAGGCTTTTCCTGTGTGTGTTTGTGTGTGTGTTTGAGTGGTGTTATGGGACAGAAGAGTTTACAGTGTATCACTGCATTCTACATGTGGCTGTTCATACGATCAGTACAAGACCATTGTTCTGTCCATGTGACAATCATGGTAGAGTCACCAATAAATGTTCCAAGTTTCCAAGGACTTCTTGTTTATGGTATTTATGCTAGTCTCCATTACATGTATAGTGTTATGTTTTAGATTTAGATCCCCCACAGTATGGGACAAGAAATCGAAGAGGTTTTTATGAATTTATTCGTAGTGAATTTCTTGCTGATTTAGTCCATGCATTCTCCCACTGCCTCCCCAAATACCAGAGACATGAAGCTAGCAGGAACTTGAAGACAGGAAGTACTAGTGAGATAACCTATTCTGGGAGTTACAAGGACCTTTAACCATAAACCCAGTTATCTCCCCTGACGTGCATGTAATACATGTACATGTTGAACAAGGAAGGCAATAAAAATCATCACCATGGTGACAATTGAATGAATATTATTAAAACTGAATACTGTTCAGAAAAATATCTAGAACACTGTGACTTCGAGCAGCGCTCCGCTATTAGTAAACTTAGAATCAGTGCCCCTTAGAAATCGAAAAAGGGCGATATATGGAACTACCTGTGTCGCAGAGGATATGTATATATTGCTCCTCAAATGCAGTGAAATATGAAATTTATTTTGAGGAGAGGTACGAGTGGGGGTTGGGGAAGAGTTGAAGGCTACGAGTGGGAGGTGGGGAAGAGTTGAGTAGGGCTATGAGTGGGAGGTGGGGAAGAGTTGAGTAGGGCTATGAGTGGGGGGTGGGGAAGAGTTGAGTAGGGCTATGAGTGGGGGTCGGGAAGAGTTGAGTAGGGCCATGAGTGGGGGTGGGGAAGAGTTGAGTAGGGCTATGAGTGGGAGGTGGGGAAGAGTTGAGTAGGGCTATGAGTGGGAGGTGGGGAAGAGTTGAGTAGGGCTATGAGTGGGAGGTGGGGAAGAGTTGAGTAGGGCTATGAGTGGGGGTGGGGAAGAGTTGAGTAGGGCTACGAGTGGGGGGTGGGGAAGAGTTGAAGAAGGCTACGAGTGGGAGGTGGGGAAGGGATGAGGAGGGCTACGAGTGGGGGGTGGCGTCGGGAAGATTCGAAACCACCTCTAGAAGTGGTTTGGGATCGAGGCGCATTCAATGTGATTTGGAGCTTTCAGATGGGGTCACTTGAAACCGGCTTCGGGGGAAACCACATATAAAGCGCCTTCACTGACTTCATATGAACAGGGCCATAATTAGTTTCTGTCTCCTCAACTGTTGTCTATTTTCCGCGGCATTCCGACCTGTTTTCCTGCAATATCATTTTTGGCCGTTGTGGGGCGCTTTTACGTTACCGTTGTCTACGTCAGTATATACACGTATATTCAAATCAGTATGACATAACTATACACAGGTCATCTTTGCAGCAGCACCGACAGACGGCTGACTACTGCAGTGCTTTGCAACCACTCGAAGTCAGCTAGATGCAGATCACACCACTGGCCGGATGATTTCGCTCGTGATGGGTGAAATCAAGCATTGTCTGATTCAAATTTAAATGCATACTTTTTCTATACATTCATCAGTTGTCAAATAATGACATATGAGTATATGTTTTCTATCATGGAGGTCAATGGTCTATTATTTTCGTGCTAGGTTTCTTTAACAGCCACTTCAACCTCATTCACGTCGAAAGAAAATAAATATTCTTCTCATCCACTCGGAGAGAAGTACGCGTTATAGGACACACTCTCTTCTTTCTAAAGTCTTTAGTTTTCCAATAAAGACAAACGCGGGTGTTATGGAGTACATATGCGTGATTCTCTCCGAGATAATAACGCGTTTTTCTAATACTGGATAAATTACGGAGAGCCTAGCGTCACTGGAAGAGCTATTTTATGAGCCCTGTAGTGACTCTTCCTGAAGAAGAGGCGTGGGTGTCACTCGAAACGTCCAGTAGTAATCTCCAGTAATTTATCCAGTAGTAGAGTTTGAATGGTATATGCCTATCGTCTAACCTCTATCAACGTATGAACATGTTGTTTGTACGGAATTTATTTGATCGCCATTAACCTTGCCAAAGACTCTTATGCCTTAAGTCTTCGGTTCTATCTGTACAATATCTTGGCACTGTCTCCAGAATTCCTTCGTGCTTAAGAAACAAATTGCCCCATCGTTCCGCTAAGCGGCCAAAAGTTATTGACATCGACCCGTGGAAAAGTTGTTTCGTTCCGTTTACGCTTGACTCTCAGAGAGACAGCTTGGAATGAAATGTCGGCCCACGTTTTTCTCGGAGCAGGATAACGACATCGACCACCGCATCCAACCTCTTCCATCATTTTTGATGAGCGATCCGTTATTCCGGACAGCGTGTAGGACTTTCTGATCGCCCCTGCCCGCCTCCGCGGAGAACTGTCCGATTTCATAAGCTGAATTTATTGGCATCTGGCTGAATGAACACGAAAAGGATTGGCCCGTGCCGATGTTATGGCCTGTGGGCAATCTCGGTTGTTGGAGTTGATTGATATGGCTCGGTGAGGCGTGGCCCGGGGTGCCATCCACCGGGGCCGTCTTCAAAAGAAGTGGCGATCCCTTAAGGACCTATTTGCGTCCATGGTGGCAAACATTCTCGATTTGCCAACTGACCACGCAACTATCTCTGATAGAACTTAGCAAGTTGTGACGGACGGACTTTCTTCCATAACGCCTCGACCTCAGGGCAAACACTCAATTTGGACGATGTCTCCTTTTCTGTGTCAAAAGTTCCCATGTATCGTGCCGGCCTTGTTCGCAGACATTAGTTTGTTATTGTTCCGTCATCAAGAAACGTACAGTATTAGCAAAGATGGATGATGACATTCCATCTATGAATGATGTATCATCAGAGGGTTTTTTTATAGAAAAATATAACAAAATAGCTCAAACCATGACATGATTTTAAAAAATCGGCAGACTTTGGAGAAGTCTTTTGGGTTTTCATGATATATTGAAAGACCCAAGAAGATTGTAGGACGTGCTTTGATCAGCACTAGGACAGAACTGTGCAGGTTGGAGGGTCGCTCATGCAATCCTCTGCTTCCTGAATTCCTCCATGTCAACCTCTGATTCATGGCTCCCGGGAATTTCGAGCTTATCCCATTTCCTGTTTCGAGCTTATCCCATTTCCTGTGACTGACCTTTAAGACCTCCTGTCATTATTCCTGTCAATCTTCTCCCAACCACGTGCTGTCAACGTAATCTGTCCGGATAAACATAACTAGAAGTCTATTAATCGGACGTAAATCTTGGACCCAGTGATCAGGTTATTTTGGATCCTGACCAATGAACATTAAGCTGCCATTGGCTTCTTGACAGTTCTACACACTCATTAAATACCACAGACCCCGTTACTACTGCTGCATGACATCGCATTGCAGCGTAGATGATGTCGGAACCTCTGCCTATCGTTCTACTTCACTTCGCCATCTCTACCCTTCTTGAAAAGGTCACCTTGTAGATCATTCGTATTTTGCCCGCTCGCTCTGTTCTGCTCACCTTATCTGAATTCCGTGATGACGTGAGAATAACATATTTGATGGAAACAGACGAGCAATCGATCGATTGATGGGATATCAAAGGAATATCAAGATAGCTGTGCATGCAAGCGGAACAGTGGGCGGCAGGGGCATATAAAAGATCTAAAACACTCTGCCACTTGACTGGCCTTTGATTTGAAGAAGACTTCGAATGAATCGCCTGATCGAAAGATCAAAAGGCAAGTGGTATGGAGAAATAATGCGATACCGGTAGTTGTGTTGACTCGACTTGTTACGCGGTGGGGTCTACGCCAGAGACAACACGAAACACTCGCTCAAGCTACAGATCGTTTTCCTTCTCGCGACGATATCAACCTTCATCGTTCACATATTGAAAGCCCCTGGTCACACACAGCCGACTGTGGCCTCCCGACCTTCTCCAGATCGTGGTTGAGAGCCAGTCGTGAGCGAGGTCATTTGTGGTTGGGAGTTTTGAAACACAAAGTCGAAAAATTTATATTCTGCTCAGATGCCACCGAAGCGAACCGGACCTAGACTCATGGATTCCAGACTACTCCCAACCCAGCGCCAACCTTGGTTGTGGAGTAGCCGGGAGCAAAGTCGTGGGAAGGTCTTGAATGTGTTACTGGGACTGCATCGCGAATCTTCTAAGTTCTACCCCAAAAACAAATTGCTCAACTTGTCCTTTGGAAATCTTGTTATCAGGAAAGAAACGTTATCCCAAGGATAAGATTTACAATGCTTGAAGGCTTTACATAACATGACATAACAGGCTTGGCTCGTCACAATTTCTATACCGTGTCTATACCTTGGCTGTCATATGTCTTACCTATCCATTGTGCCAGCAATGTTGATACTTTCAACTAGCCTTCTCCCTGCTGCCTATCCCGGTATCCTTTTCAAAATTTGAAAAACAAATGCAACCAGACGGCTTCATTAGTAGGCTGAAGAGTTTTTTAATTGTTGGATTAGGTATGAGATAAGGTAAGTGATTTGTATCAACCATTCAGCTTTGGGGTCAAATAAATTCATTTCTAATCACAAACACATCTTGTCCAGGATATTATTTTCGACATGTATTCACTCGAGGATATCATGTCAGAGACTTTTGAATAACATGATATCGATTCTACCGCCGCTCATTTTCACTCCCTGTCAGCAAGACAAGCATCTTCAGCGGAGAAGGTTTATTGGCAACTCAAATAACCTTTAAGGGCAGGCTGGGTGCAGGAGATGCCCTGGACCTATGCACTTTTTAAGGTCTCAAGATGATTGCTTCTTGGAAACGCATGTTTAGAAAAAAACGCACAAAGACGTAATAGAGGACCCCTTGACAAATATCCGAGTTAATACCTTCTTTATGCTTTCCCCTCTATTTTTCACGCACAATAAGAGAGTGGAATCAGCTGCTTATTGTACAGGCACTGACCGATAATTGCCTTTAGAGCCGACTGGCAGCCGTCCAGCCATATTCCCAGATCTACACCTTTAACGCGCAAAAACTCACTTGTATAAATATTTTCTCACACATATAAAGGTCCCCATTGCAATTGTTCTCGATTCTCGTGACTATTGATTTCATAATTGGAACATGATGTACCATATGAAAATATACATCATTTAAAATACAAAATAAATTCATTCTATAAAATTCGTTGTGCGATCTGTCAAATATCTAGTCGCTCAGCGGTAGCAGCCTCTAGTCATAATGAATCAAACGAGAGTCCGTAAACTTTCCTAGCGGGCTGTGACAGAACCACCGCCGACAAAGATCTAAGACAGACTTTACACTGATAATACAGCTGAACTGAGCAGGACCCATGTACGACTATCTCAAGAATGGCCCTCAGCTTGCAGTCGTACGACAATCGTACGACGTATGTGACCGGGTCTTAACGCAAGTCGTGTGGGCGGTGTCCACTCAATGATGGCACGCCGTGATATGATAATGTTTTACACTTGTAGCTTTCCGTGCGAGCCGAGGTAAGCCCTGGAATCCCCCGACTGTGCTGTCTTGCCCCAAATGTATTCATTACTGCAGGAGAAGATAAAAGATAAAGATCGTTTTCTTATCATCTTGGACTCACGTATACATCCATACAATATCTCGGTGTCTACAGAGCGTGACCTTTGTACCAACATCTTCCCACGGGGAAAGTCGAAACGGCACGAACTACAAGCAAATTGGCCCCTCGAACCAAAATGCAAACCTCTTAAAATCTTTTTTTCGACAATTTCATTTCAGAAAGGGCGATGGCTAGTGAACTGACACGTGAATTCAACTGTTTTCGACAAGAGATCCCTCGTGAACGGTTGTCTATCGGTATTCAATATTTCCAAACCACGCAGCAACAAAGTAACACACCGGCTGTCATCTGCCAAAAAGAGATTTTAGACTTCCGGGAAGTATTCTGGGTTTCCGTGAATCTATTGGAACAACCGACGAGATTGTATGACGTACTTTGATCAGTACTAGGGTAGAAACTGCGCGGGGTTGGAAGGTCGCTCAATCCTCGGCTTCAAGAATTCCCCCATGTCAACCTCTTATTCCTGTCATCTCCCTATCAGAACTAGAACCTGGTACCTTGAATAAGTTCACCCGGGCCTATTTCCTTTGTTAGACCTTTGTTAGACCTTTTGTCTTTCTGCCTGCCAATCTTCCCCGCGCGCTGCCAACCTATTATGCTCGGACCAGCATACGCACAAACCCACAGACAACTCACTCAAAACAGCACGTCTGTTAAAATGTGGCATTTTATCCGAAGTTTGATAAGCGCGAAAATTCACCAAGATCTTTTCCACCCCAAAGATTGGGCTGGCCAAATTATCAACCTTATAGCCCACTCTCGTCATGTTTTCAAAAGATCCGCTATGAGCAAGGAGCTTCGAATGCAATGAGCGTTTGGTGTCTTTCCGTAATGCTGTCCAAATAGAAGCCTTACAAGTTTTGTTTCAAAAGTCCTCATCTTTCCGCGCATCTGTCTTCACGTGTTATCTTTAAAACACCTTCAGAATCAGATATGTTCCGCCAGAAATCTTCCTTATCAAGTCCAAGAACCTGTTGCCCTGAGGACTGTGTCACGACGCGGCTGCGATTGTATCTCGGTGTTTGGAACATTTCCAAGCCGATAGGCCTTGACAGAGAGTTCACGCGGACGTACACCTTGCTCTTATGTATGCTAATTTATGCACATGCACATTAGGTCCATCGACCAGCGCTAGTGCACACTGCGACCATAGCTTCGTGGTTTCGGGCGTATTGCATATCACATGTTTGACGTTTACGAGATCTTGGTGGTAGAAACTGCTTCGATACCATCGATTCAAACCGGCTTATACTGCAATAAAACTAACTACACTGGGCGGGCATGATGAGACGATAGACTAACTACCCCGCCATTGGTTAAAACTGCCTTAATATCAATGGTTCAGTTATGGCTTTCTTTCAAAACAAAATTAGTTTTCTAACCACAACCAACATCTTAACTATACTTTACAAAGACGAAACTATATATGGAATGCTTTTTAGTTGTTGTTTTTCTTTTTTCATGTCACTAATTAACACTTTTGTATCATTCACTGATTATATTTATAATAAATAGGTGTCAACCAATGATTGCTAGAAGCACATCCTTATTTTGTGATGATCCCGCGATAGCCATTGGAGCGCAGGGCTCATAGGAACTGATAAGATACGGATTCCGCACCAGTCCAGACCTGTATGACCGTCGCACCAGGAGGAGTGAGGATCACACTTAACTCTGAGCGCGGAGAGGTTGGACGGAATCCAGCGGGCCTATAGTCGTTTTCTGTAACCCAGGTTAGTGTTATTTTCCTTGCATTATCCAACTGCGAGTAGTTTGTTCCGATTTCAGAAAGATTTAGTGAACCTTCGAGGCCATGATGTTTCCTTAAAAAAACTTAATGCGATCTTTACAGCTAATGGCCAGTTACCGCAGAATCAAGTAGCCTCTGAAATTTTCTGCTTGAAAGTTGCAAACCGTACTTCATGAGGTTTCTAAAATGTTGCATTAAACTGCGAATAGGAATATTTGTATCAGTAAAATCCTAATGTTAGTCTTAAGTCGAGCTTTCCCAGTGTTATTTTCATGTCGAAGAAATCAATGTTTTTGTAATAACTTTATTGTTTATTATTATTATTATTTACTTATCCTTCTTATGCGTCACGTTGTAGGGTGTCGACTGTATTTGCCGTGCGTTGTACAGTATTAATCTGATGCCGTATACATGGAAAATACATCAGTACTAGGTAGCTGACTGACTCTGAATGTCTTCCTGTGGCGCTTTAATCAATGTATCCGTCCAAGCTTCCGAGATTACAAATTTGTTGCACGAGAGCTTACGATTTGTTTTCTTTTCAAACATCATTTTTACTGACGTTAATGCGCAATTCATCAGCTCTATATTGCCCCTCAACTAATGACAAGTCCCATGTGCAGAGGCTGGCTAGACATAACAGTCTGTCTGTTTCATCTGTTCTCTTCTTCAAGAATCGACAAAATCGTTACAAAAATGTATCCTGTCATTTATCAGTTGATATTGCAGTCCCGTTATTTCCGACACCAAACTCTGCCGTTGTGCATACTGAGCAGACGCATGGTCTCAGGACAGAAAACGCCGAGAGAGATGTACAACTATTTCCAAAATGCAAACATTTACGTTGCACGCTGATCTCTCGCGGGATGGCAGTAAGGTCCGTTTTCCAATAGACGACGACTGCTGAGCGACAACAACTGGATTTTTGTTACCAAGGTGTCAGTAGCAGCGCAGTCACATCCATCAGACATACGATGTCGTACGGTGTTCATGTCGCAGTAACCGGTATTTTCAAATAGGCTACCGACAAGAATTTTAGACAGCTTAAACTTTCTCCGAAGCATGGCTACTGAATTCTGTACACATTCAACTGTCCCAAAAATGCCCCAGTTTGCGATCGTACGATGATCGTGCGTACGGCGTATGTCATCGGCCCCCTAAACGATTGCATCTACTTCGTGCTTACTTCTCATATTAGCTTTACTTTGAGCCACATATATCCCATGGCACTGTGCCATACATACGCTACAGCTAGCACTGTGCCTCTTCCAATAGATGTCCATCTACCGTCATGAAAATTGTCTCCAGACACATATTTTTATTGCACGCTCTCCTGCTCCCACTAATCACTTCATCCCGCTAATTGGCCACTCTAGCATTTCCCTGATAGATGGCGATTGTTAGACCCACCAATTGAGATAATTGTGGTCTCAAAAGGCTTACTTACTCCAGCGTTAATGGGTGCTTTAGCCAGACCATTACAAAATAACTACTTGATCAGACCCTTGAACATTTGTTGTATAAAGTTACTCCCAAGACACCACAGTATTTGACGCCTTTCACTCAAGAACATACCTGATTAAGAAAATCGACACGTCGCCGTTATAAAACACAAGAACTATTTTCATCCTGACGAGAGGAACCATTAGCCGGTGGAAACAAATCTACTCCGCCCAGATCGTATTTTGTAAACTTGAAATCAATCTTTACAACTTTTGCCGGCCAACGCCCATTTCGTACGTCCATAACGACCCCTACGGCAATCTTAACGGCGTTAAACGTACTAGTACTTCTAGAAGTAAGCTGCCTTCATTTTACCTTAGCCTTTAATGCTCTGTGACACTGCTCCAAGAACTTGGACGTAAGGAATTATTTAAAGCCTTAATTGCCGAAATCGGCTCTGCCATTTGGATCCCTAACTTACTCTTCAAAAGACGCGAAGGTCAGAACTGGCTCTTTAACTTTAGACATTTCCAAACCACACTATATCCGGCGGCCATGCTGGTGGTCTATCCATTAAGCTGAGAGGAGACGCTGATGAGGTCCGTCACTCTCAAACTTACCGTGGCCGACAGATACACCGTATTGTAACACTGTTGAAGTATATATAACACCTAGGGATTCGTACTTTGTATATTAGGATCAGAAAGTAGACTTGTAGACAAATGGCCATTACTTTCGAACCCTAACATACATAATCAGAATCCCTATATGTTATACATCAACACCGTTGCAATACATTGTACCTGTCTGCCACGGTACCAACTTTCAATCGCGTTTTCGTTTCCCTATAACGCGCTGTTGTGAACAATAGCCAAGGAGCCAATTACTAAACTAGGCTAAAAGCTCTACATAGCCTTCGAATTCCGATTGAGCCGGAGTTGAAGCTCATGGAACAGGCGCATTAGTGAACCCTTTCAGCTGTATGTGGATTTCGCCGCTAATTGCTTCTTGGCACCTGCTGCCTCCCAAAAGGGCATTGAAGACACGTTTGAGACTAATAGCCAAAGACTTGAGTTTGGAAAAAGGCCAATGGATTGCAGATACTGTCATATCCAAGATCGAATACTATGCAGGACGGCATAGGTAACTTTTCTTTGTTATATCCAGGTACCGAGGTCTTGTTTTGGGTGGGTTTGTGTGTATGCTTGTCCAGCTGAGATGGTTGCAGAAAGACTCGGTGGGTATTTGGTTACTTGATTGACAGGAAGGTTAAGGTGTCCCAGCACGCGCCGGGTGGGAGTAAGTGGGTGGTACGTGGAGGAATTCAGACGAAGTGGTTGGCAGTGTGCAATCCCTCCTGACCACAGCTTCAATACATTCACAGCAACTCAATACACTTCCTGGACGTTGGAAATCTTCGATTTCTTGTTCAATCTGCAAAGATTTTCGGACAAAGACAACCTGACTTACATTGGGAGATTGCTCTCCATTAGGCCACCAGTTCACTCTCCGAGGCTGTTGTGTGACAAACACGTGTAATCGTCCATAACTTTCAGAAGAACTGAGAACGCATCCCGGTGTAACAGGGGCGATCAGCATTAGGCAATTAGGCGCGATGTTAAAAACAACTCGTAGCACTAGGGGGAACTAGAGTCTCCTGATCAGTCCACCTGAAAGCGCAAAAGCCGTATACTAGCAACGATAAACTGAAAGAAAAAGAAATTGGAGATTGTCACAAGGACAAGAAAAAGTTTTCAAACCTTCTGTAGATATCTTTTCTAGAGTTTTTGTTTAGTAGCTGTAGCACAGCCAAAGAGATGGTCTAACGTACATATATATGACGTACCATATACAACAGGCCTAGGACAAAAACATTCTGGCTGAGAATGCACCAACCTATCATTTTGTGACAAGCCCAAAGTTACTTGTAGTAACTGTGTGGGCGGACCTTAATGACTGCGGTTACAAAATCCCCCTCACTCTTCCTGTCACTTCACTGCATTGAAATACGTATATTGACACACAGAAAACACACAATTTCCATGTGTATAATTCTACCTAGAGTTTGGCTACATCGCGTTCCAAAGTCTACCTGGCAGATATGATCAGACATCTTCTTCTTCATCATCGGTAGGTCAGTCACCGAGGGAATACTAGTACACGGGATCACAGGGATCACAAACTAAGCCTGGGCAAAAGTTATTAGATTGAGATAAGATAATCTGATTGTACTAACAGCCCTGAAACTATTTAGCAAAACGTCCCAATAGATCGCATCGCAAATTGATCCACGCTTTCTAAAGCTCTTAGCTCTGGAGGCTTAGCGAGGAATGTAGTCGTTAAGATTGCCTGGTATTAATGAATGGTAACAGAAGCAGTCCACCGGCATTATAAGCAATCAGTAAATCCCAATAGGTCTTTTCTTTGAGGGGTGAGTGGTAAATTTGTAAGCGCCTGAAATCTACTTACGTGGTAGATAGATTTTTTCTGGTGTGTCGGTTTAAGTTCCACAAACCGAGTATCACTATCTTACCCGGCTTTGATAATTCAGAATG